AAACTAATCAAATATGTGCATTAGTTTGGAGCATCTGTGTGCCAAGTTTCATCAACATCCAATGAGTGGTTCTTTAGATATCAGTGGAACAGTCATGAACAGCTAAAAATCAGCTAATTATCATGCAAATTAGATAATTAATATGCATGGATTTTTACCAAAACCAAATCAAATCTGCGCATTGGCCCAGAGCATCTATGCACCAAGTTTCATCAAAAACTAATGTAAGGTTCTTGAGATATCAGTGGAACAGACGGACACACATACACACACACACACACACACACACACATACAGACACACATACAGACACACTAACTGCAAAGACTCCCTTTTTGTGCTTCGCACACGGGAGTCAAAAACAACAAAAGTTTCAAAATTACAAACAAATCAAAGGGTATATATAAAATACGTATTACAATTAGGTTTTATAAATTGTATTTTTTAAGTATTTTGCAAGTGCAGTACTACTATTTATAATGCAAGTGAATATTAAATTTCAGTTAGTTGTACTGCACATTTCTAATTTACAATCTTCTAAGAGGATATTTCTTTCTTGAGTGAAGAAGCAACAGTCAAGGATGAAATGTTTTTCATCTTCTACAGTACCTGTGTTGCATTTTTTACACAATCTGTAATTTGCCTCAATTCTTGGAAATTTTCTCCTGCCCAATTCAATTTCCAGATTATGGTCACTAAGTCTAAACTTGGTAACCATTCTTCTCACATTGAAGTCCTGAATTTCTGTTAAATATCCTTCAAATTCATATTCCATTTTAAACAATGTATGTATCTTTTAAATACATGTAAACTCATTTTTGATTTTTTTTTTTAATCCAGCAAATGAATAAGGATATGTGACCTTTAGATGTGATGAAAGGAACCTATTGTCATCAAGATAACAATAAGCATTTAAGAGCATCTATATGAGAAATATAATATAAATAAAATTCTTCACTATAGAAAATTGGCACATTTTCTATTTTCTCCATAATATTCCCATTTTTTGGAATCTCTTTTTCCTTTTTGTCTACTGTACCTGAAATTCAATGATTTCATTTTTTCCATTGACTTCAGTCCTTAGAAGAGCTACATCCTTTTCAAAACCTTTAACCTGAAAAAATAAAAAATAGGTGCATAATATTGACCATATTCGACATATATGTATCTATATTGGAAGACGTGACCAAATAGGAGAAATTATAGTCCCTAATTCCTATTGGTTAGAAGGTTTGACCTTTAGAGGTCATGTAGCAGGTAATTAGCATAATCCAAGATGGCAGACAAGATTCTGCACTCCTATTGGATACATTCGACCTTTAGTTAGAGGTCATGTAACTAATCCAAGATGGTGGACAAATCTCACTGACCTTATCCTGTAACTCCTTTTCTTTCTTGAGCTGGTCTTTCATCTCCACTGAAGACTCATTTTTCCGCTGTGAAATAGTCTTCTTTTGTAATTCCATTTGTTTTTCTAACTGTTTGTATTTTTCTGAAAAACAAAATGACGAAATAGACATTCTATCTTAAGGCATGTCAATGAATTTGAATTTTGGGAAACATTTGGAGATTTGAAAAAAATTACAAATTTTGCTATTTCCCATACTATTTTGTGCTCTTTGTTTTATAAAAAAAAAAATGTCCAGAGATGAAACAAGCATGAAAAATTTACATATAATCCTTAGTTCAATCAAAATCAACTTAATATCCTGGTGATATACAACATTTTCGTGTCACATAATAGAAAGTACTCTGAAAGGTCAAATTATTAACAGTCAACTTTCTAGACATTGGTACATGTCCATTCCTACAGCATATGTCCATTTCTACAGCATATGTCCATTTCTACAGCATATATCCATTTCTTACCTTGCTCCATGATGAGTGTGTTTTGTAGCTTTGAAATCTGCATACTCAGCTTAGATAATCGATCCTTAATTTGTTTGCTTTCTTTCTTCAAATCATGAGTGGTATTTTTCAAAGCCTCGTTCTCATTCCTCAATCTAGTAAGCTCATCTTGAGTCAGGTCTATAAAAAATATACTGGCATTAAGTTTTTTCTTTGAAGTTGAAAATAAGTTACATAACATAGTGTTTGCACTGTAAAGTAGCACTAGGTATTCAGAAGGGAAGGAAGGTCAGAGGTTGGAGGAGGAAGGAAACGGTCTTTTACAATAACAATATAAGCCACAATGCCTTGCAGGTATCGAATGTCACTTTTTTTCATTTTAGTTTGACACTGGTAGTATATTAAGTATTTTGCACAATTTTACATATTTTTCTGTAATTTCATTTTTAATTTTGGACCAAATGAATGCAATTTTTCCATTTAAACAACTAAAATAATAGTTTTTTGTTAAAAGTTGTCGGAGTAATTTCTGAATCATTTATCTGTGAAGCATTGTAATTGAAACATGCAATATTTGTTAATCGCTTTATTCATTTCGTTTTATACAAGTTCAATAATACTGTATTCTGACTTATACATTGTTGCAAAATACGGATTCTGAAGTGAGACGACGACATGAATGCGAACGTGGTAGAAACCACCGCAGTGTGTTCTTTTGTTTCAATTTTTATATTCATCCAATTAGAAGTTTTCCCACTAATTTTCTTACACGGTCAAGAGTTTATCGATGTATATCAAGGGCATACTGCCAATTCTGTATCATTCTTACAATTTGTGTTATATCGTTGATATCCAGTTGTAAGTCT